TAATGACATTAATTAATCTGCTGATCTAGCTAATGGGAAAGGGGGGGGGGGGGCAGATCCCATTATTTGAGATCACAGTTTACCCCTTCCTTCAGGTTTAGGTGTGTTTGCTCCTCTCAGATATCGATTACTGTGAGTCCTTCCAGTCATGGTGATCCTTCCTCCAGTAAATCCACCAGAGCTGCACAAAAAATACTTGTTTAGATCAACAAGTAAATGCTAAAGATTGCATATAATAAAACGTAAATAAAATAATCCCCAACACAAACCCCAAAACAGCACACAAAAAACATGAATAAAATAAAAATATATCTTCCAAAACAATCAGTGTAAATGTGTCCATTCAGCAAAAAATCCACAAAAGTGCACTTTTTTGGAGGTGTTCTGTTTACTTGAATGGGCTGCCCTACGTGCAACAAACGCCCCAAAATAGAACCTTTTTGGTCATGGAGCTTCACGCGTTTTGGTATGTTTGTAGCATGTTTTATCACACAGCAAAACACACGTCTGCTAACTATGATTGGGGTGTCGTTCACAATTAGTTTGCATTCACATCGGTGTGTTTCCAAACGCGTGGCAACCCACTCAGAAAATGCGCACTGTGCATTTCAAAAAGTCATGGCTACATGTGGCAAATGTACAGTGTGCTTGTGTTGCCATTCTGGTGATGCAAGTGCAATGTGTGTTTGCAGCATGCAAAGTGTGCATACATTTGGAAATGTGCAGATGTAAATGCCGCCTAATTATTGACACCCCAATCGTGGTTAGTAGAAGTGTGTTTTGCTGCATGACACAATGCACTATAAATGTGCCAAAATGCGCACTGAAAAAACGTGACACCCCCCCCCCCCCAGGACCAAAAACATTCTTGAGCTACTTTTGGGGCGTTTTTGGTGTGTAGGGCTTGAATGTGCAACACATTTTAATGATTGAAAATCGCCAAAAAACAAGAGCAGGAACTCAGTTGTGAATGGCATGTGCTTGGCAGGAAGTTTTTAGGCAGCAAAGATGACCACGGAGGAGAGGTGAGGGTTAAAAAAAAAAAACCCTGATACATCAAAGTCGCTTCTTATTATCTATGCTGCTGCTACTTTAGTGAGTAAAGTTACATTGAAGTTGCATCAAAATCACAAGCGACACTGCATAGTCGCACTGGAAATAACACAACAGTGGGGTCGCAGCAGTGTGAACTCAGGCTTACTGTCTTCTAATGTCTGCAGTAGCAGTACATGTGGATCAATGCAACCTCAGTGACACCTTGGCCATATCTAGACCCCACACATGACAGCTTGTAATTTGCTTCAGGCACCCGATCCAGTGTGGGGGGGCTCACTTTAGCACTTTGTGCAACTGGTTGAGTTAAACACAGGGTTCTATAGTGGTCCAGGGCTATAGTCCCTTGATTATGGAATCCAGTCCCTGAAGACACCATCAGGCTATGCCCACCATGACAGGCAAAACCTATATTTAATATACAGTCCATTGTCATGGATAGGTGCGACAGGGTCACCCTGTAAATGCAGATATGTTTGGAATTGTATTCACTTTGATTCACAGTGTTAACTTTTCAAACTTGACGCTGAAATTCAACCAGTTAGAACTTAGTCTCCTGTGAATGACCAGTGTTGCATCACACCACTGGTTGCACATTTTAACATCACTGCCACCTAGTCTTTTTAGGGTACTCTGGTGCTTTCTCTTGCCCTTTCGCCACAAGGGGTCATCTGCAAGAAGTCTGAATATGTCTGCTTACCAGGTGCTTTAGGGCCAGAAGAACCAGTCTTCCTCTTTAGCTTTATTTTGTGGAGCAGCCAAGATAAAACGCTCAGTGGAGGGAGATAATTTAGCCTGAACTGAGACCAGGGGATAACTAGAGCATCTGAGGCCAGAGATAGAGGATCCCTGGTTCTGGAAACAGAGGAAGTTTGCCGTTTGAGTTTAGAGGCTAGGATGTCCACATCTGGAATCGCCCATTTTTGGCATATCAAACTAAACACTTTTGGAGAAAGAAATCATACCCCCTGGTCCAAGTGGTGGTGGCTGAGCTATTCCAGCTGCCCATTCCTGGGACGTGGACCGCATAACTTGCTGGGCAGGGACTTTTTCCATGATAGAATCTGACTCGTCTTCCTCAAGGCAGCCAGGCTCCCCGTGCCCCCTTGATGATTGATGTATGCCACCGTGTCTGATGGCACCTGAACTGGGTGTCCCTTTTAGAATGGGGGTTCAGTGCTAGAGGGACAGCTTCACAACTCTGAGCTCCAAGATATTGATGGGGAGTTGTCCTTGTCTATTGATCATGTTCCCTAAATTGTCAAGAATTGGAAGACCCCACCTCAGCCTGACAAGTTTGCGTCCCTTGTAGGAACCTTCCAGATTGAAAGTGGGAAAAACCTTCCTTCTATACTAGTTGGAAGTGGTGATCCATCAAGACAAGGACCTCCTTGTTTGGGGAGGAATTATTCATAGAGAATGTGTATGAAATTTCAATTTGATGTTAGAGACTGGTGTGCAGATATGCAAAACGCTTATCAGAAATGGTTTCGGCAATTGGCGCAATAGCAGCTTCTGAGGCCAAGTATGTACTGGCATTCTTCACAGCACACCCTTACTTCTATTGATATTTTTGTTAAATAAATCTGTTAAAGTGGAACTCCCAGCATTTGCAGCATTTTGTTTTTAAATCTGCTGGCTTATAAAGGGTTAAGTTCAACAAGGTGCATGCCAGCTCATGGCAGAATTCCCCTATGTTTTATTCATGTATATTACCTTATCTTTAGGCACTCTTTTGAATGAAGATTAAATATTTGAATCAAATATCAACTTTGTCTGTTCAAATTTGTTAAGTCAACAGTTTCCATGGAGTACACTTTTTTTCACATGACTGTGTGAAATTACTTTGTAGTACCTTCAGCAAGGAAGGTCAGTGTGAGTTTGTCTTGAAGCTAATTTTCTTCCTTAAATATATAAATACTTTTAAAGCCCAATTCTACCTTGGGCAAAACATTATGAAGTTGTTCCCCCAGAGCACCTGAAAATAAAAATGTTTTGTCTACTATAACTCACCTGATCTCCTATGCTGTCTCCCACAGATTTACTGATCCAGTGATGCTATGCCACTAGTCTTCTGGAATGAATGACACCCAACATCATTCTATCCACTTTCTGTAGACTCAGGTGTCAAGGTTCCACCCCCTGCCCTGAGCTCACAGGAAGAATGCTGCAGAGAGTGGCTCCCCATAACATGGTGCTGCTCTTTGCAGCATTTGGAATCTACCCATTGAGGAAATAAAAGGACAAAAAAGAAGACATGTGACATCTTTGGACCTGGCCAAAGATTAGAATACAGTTTTAGAGCGTGAGAAAGAGAGACATGGGGGTTGATTTACTAAAGCTGGAGAATGCAAAATCCTGGTGCAGCTCTACATAGAAACCAGTTAGCTTCCAATTTTTTTGTGAAAGCTTAGCCAGGCCTCACTCTAGAATAAAGTTTGATGGTCTGCTAAGTTCAGGATCCAGGATGGCTGGACTGGGGGAGATGGCATGGTTTGTGATTAGAGGAAATCATTCAGCGTTCACTATATGTGATTCTGTAGTGGCTGGGGATTTATGAGCATGTGGCGATTTTTTTTTTTTTTTTTTTTTTTTTTTTTTTTTTTTTTTTTTTTTTACAGGAGACTGTGGATCAGGATGCTGACTGTTAGGGCTGCCAGACACAGGTTCTACCACCAGACAGCTGGCTCCATCTGGTGTAGGCTGAGGAGGTGTTGTCACTATCTTGCCCGAGGCTGCTGCAGAGTATATTGTTGGCGAAGGCCCGGGCGATTGTTACCTCCTGCCATTAGACCATGCTAGGCCATGCCTGGGATCTCGTCACCCCACTGTGCTGGGTATCAGATCTGCTATAAAATACATTAATTGGCTGGGCAGGTGTGCAGCGCCAAGGCTAAGCAGCCATCTTGGGCAGCTACGTGCACGCTTCCCCTTTTTGCTAAAGTTAAAAGCTGATTGGCTGCCATGCACAGCTGCACCAGAATTTGCACTCTCCAGTTTTAGTAAATCAACCCCATGAGGTCTTTCATGGGTGTGGGAGCTGGCAAAGGGGCATGGACCTGTACTCGGAGCGGAACTTTAGAATGTAAAAAATATATTTTAATAAAAGGTTTGCTTTAACTAGAGGCCAGTGTGTGTGTTTGAAACATGTAAGGAAGGGTGAACCCATATCACCACAGGGAAAGCTGAACTCAATACAGCATCTGTTAAAACCCCTAAAATAAACCGGTCATGAGAAATGGGAGCTGCCATTACAAACTTCTGAAAATGCTTGTTGCATGACTTTTTTGCAGACACATTGACTTCAATAGTTTAGTTTGAATTTTACATATATAAACCATGCATATCAGGACATTTGGAAAAAGGTCAGGTCTTTATTTGTATAATTTTTACTGGTCAATGATCCAAAATAGTGAGGCAACAGGTCAACTACCATTTCCAGAAGATGGGTCAGCCTCCATGTTTTCTTTATTATTATAGAATTTACATATATGCAGTTTTGTTATCATCCATTGAGGGCACAGCATTGCATACTCATAAACTGGGTTGTATTAATGCCGACCTGGACAAGTGAACTCTAGGTCAAAAACTGCAGGCCAGCCCCCAGGCAACGTATCCTTTCCTATAGTCATTCTTTTCAAGATCTGGGAGTTTTAATGTAAATGTAGGACAACTGACAGTTGTCAGTTAAATTCCTGGAGCCAGGGTCTAAAGATGTGCTGCTCTCAAAAAACGTGATTTCCATTCAAATTACTTGAAGAGCAGCAAATTCCCTGGCTTCTAAAGGAAAAAAAAAAAAAAAACTTCTACTGACTCTTCAGTTTTTTTTGCTGACTACTGTCTTAAACTTCAGTGTACTCATCCTTGACATTTTTTTTTGTATTAACTACTTTGCTTTCTGACTTTCTTTTCAGAGTCCCCCCCTATACCCCCTTCCCCTCTGAACAATGCATCGGACCATGCGGATCAAGATGACTGAGCTGAATCCACATCTTATGTGTGCCCTGTGTGGAGGATATTTCATCGATGCAGCAACTATTGTAGAATGCCTGCACTCCTGTGAGTGTTCACTGTTCCCTAGTGTTATATGGTTTGGTTTATCAGTGGCTAACCAATGCTACTTTTACATAGGACTGTGACTATAGTTTGTAGGTGATAGGGGTTCAGAAAGAAAAATGCCTGTAGTGGTGCCTCTTAAAGTGTTACTAAACCCACAACAGTATAATCAGTATGCATATACAGTAAAGCATGCTTGTTATACTCACTGTGGAACCTAAGGGGTTAGTCCTCGGCAATGTATAAAAAGGATGTTTTATCCTGTCTTCTCTGATCCTCCCCTCCTACTGTCCCCAATCCATCTGCTGATAGGACAGAGTATTGGGGGCAAGCTGCACATACTCAGTTTGGTGTGTATTGCTAGAGTTTTTTTTTTTTTTTTTTTTTGTTTTTCTTTGGGAGGGTGCATATGATCAGTACAAGGCCAATCAGTGCTGTCCAGACATGGTCAGGGGTCATGCAGCCACATAGGACAATCAGGAGGGAATGAAAACTCCTGAAAGCTTTAACCAGTGCTCAGCTGGATACTGATAGAAGTCACAAGACTGCTTTACTGCTGATGAGAAAAGGTATATAGCAGTGTATATTTACTAAAATTATTGCATTTCCAGGTTGTGTGTACTGTGGGAGACCAAATATAGTGAATGCAGGGTCCTGGGTTTAGTAACACTTTAATCCCTCTTTACTGCACAGCAACTACAAGTCATATGTGAGGATCTTACTGATTGTGACAAGTTAAACTTCCCAGTGGCATTGTATATGTGGGACTTCAATAGGAAGATGTCCCACTGAAACTTGTTTCTGAGTCTTGTTCTTTCTGGGAGCGTTGACATTTTTTGTTTTCTGCATTCATCACAATATGTAAAATATTTCCCAACTGTCTTGCTGATTCAATAACTCCATTACTTTTAGTATCTCCGACCTTTAAATAATTATGCAGATCATGTTAATTTATAGACAGTCAGGTAACTAGCATTCTCACATGAGGGTCCGCAGTGGCAACCTGCATATTACTTCCAGTGCAAGTAAGAGGTGTTCTTAACCCCTTGACGCCGATGGCACACAAATATGCGGCCTCACAGAACTGGGCTTTTTTTCCGTGGGGCCACATATTTGTGTACCTGTCTTTGTGCTGGGTGTCACTGAGAGCCCCAGGTCCCGTTCTATTGATCGGGACCCAGGACTCTTGATTCCGGGTCACGTGATCGCTGTGATAGCCTCTGATTGGTTATCACAGTGATCAGACACTGTGCAGTCCGGCCCCCTTGTTTTTTCTCTCTCTATGAATGGAGAAGAGAGATACATTGTATCTCTAACTCCTGACATAGAGAAATAAAATAAATGTTTGAAGGAGAAAAAAAAAAAAAAAAAAAAATAAATAAATATAAAAAAATAAAGAAAAATACCTAGATCACGGTCTGATCTAGTTCAGTACCAGGGTTAGTGTTTGGGTCAAGGTCAGGGTCAAAGGTCAGGATTTTAAAAAAAAAAATTGGTATCAGTGTCAGCATTAATGTCAGTGTGTTTTTAGGTTAAAAAAAAAAAAAAAAAAAAAATGCGCACTATTGTTTCTGGGCTGTACTATGGGTACAAACAACGAATAACATACACATATATGGTATCGCTGCGATCGTCAATAGCTGAAGAATTTATTTTGGGTTGTTCTATGGAGGTAGGTTATGGTCGTAACAAGAAACACACAGCTAAATTAGAAAAAAACAACTTTTTTTTTTTTTTTACTAATTTGGGCTAGTTTTCCTTTGAGAATAAAAAAAAATTAGCAGCTATCCATTACCATTTACCACCAAAAGAAAGCCCAATTTGTTCTGAATAAAACAAGGTATAATCCACCTGGATGTACAAGGTAGTTGTGATGATATGTACGGTTTTACTAACACAGGTCAACATTGCAGAATTGTGCTAGGCATTTAGATTTGTTTTACCCTTAGGCGTGAAAGGGTTAAATTCCAGATAATAGCTAAGTAAGGCTAAACCTACTCCCACTTCCATTCTAAAGCTACTCCATCTAACCCTGCAAAGAAAAGAAGTATATACGTACCTATTCTGAAGCCATTCTGGTCTGGCCTCCAGTAGCGACTTCTGTGTGCAGGGGAGATCTCCGACAATGGCTGGGAGATGACGGCACCCATAGACTTATTATGGGGTGTCCGTTGTTGGCTGCCTCTACTGCACACAGTAGCCACTGCTGCCAGCTGAACATGGGACCAAACTGGAGCAGCTTCAGATTGGGCAAGTATACACATCTTTTCTTTACAGGCTTAGATAGAACAGCTTTAGAATGGGGGTGGGAATAGGTTTAGGCTTAGTTGGCTATTGATTGGAATTCCACTTTAACCACCTGGTGACTGCTCACAGTAAATGTACTGCAAGCAGGTAGCAAGTGCAGACACGATCCTGTACGCTGGCTGATTCTTCTGGGTTCGGTGGTGCGCGTATGTGTGTGCCCCCTGTGTGACGGGCGCGGCGTCAGACCCCAGTCCTTCTCACCAACTTGTGACCAAAGGACTAGCCAATCTAAAACCGCGCTGCCACTTGCATAACAATGCCACTCTCAGCTACACCCTGCACAAAGATTTTCCAGCTCACTGGACCCCAATATAGGTGCCAACAGCCTGAGAGCGATTGTTGCTGTGTCAGGTTAATTACGCAATTAACCCTTCACACTGCCACCACCACCTTTTTACATAGGAGGAAACTCACAAATCTTAGCAGTAACGCTATGATGTTTGAATAAGCGTCTGTATACACCCTGCCACCGCAGACAGATGTATCCAGAGGCTTTAAAACACACAGTAGCACTATTCAGAGACAGGGATTCTTAGTTTGCATTAAAGAGCTTTAGAAACAATTCAGCACTTTTCAGAAAATAGGATTTATTACTAAAAAGGTCAAAATAGTGCAATAAAAATATTTACAGAAAAGATGTAATATATATATATATATATATATATATATATATATATATATATATATATACAGTCATGGCCGAAATTGTTGGCACCCTTGATATTTCTCCAGGAAATCATGTATTTCTCTCACGAAACGTATTGCATTAACACATGTTTTGCTATACACATGTTTATTCCCTTTGTGTGTATTGGGACAAAACAAAAAAAAGGGAGGAAAGAAAGCAAATTCGACATAATGTCACACAAACCTCCAAAAATGGGCTGGACAAAAGTATTGGCACCCTTTCACAACTGCGGATAAATAAGAATGTTACAAGCATGTGATGCTCCTGTAAACTCACCTGGGGCAAGTAACAGGTGTGGGCAATATAGAAATCACACCTGAAAGCAGATAAAAAGGAGAGACGTTCACTTAACCTTTGCATTGTGTGTCTGTCTGTGCCACACTAAGCATGGACAACAGAAAGAGGAGACGAGAACTGTCTGAGGACCTGAGAACCAAAATTGTGGCAAAATATCAACAATCTCAAGGTTACAAGTCCATCTCCCAGAGAACTAGATTTGCCTTTGTCCACAGTGCGCAACATTATCAAGAAGTTTGCAACCCATGGCACTGTAGCTAATCTCCCTGGTCGTGGACGGATGAGGAAAATTGATGAAAGATTGCAACGCAGAATAGTCCGGATGGTGGATAAGCAGCCCCAAACATGTTTCCAAAGACATTCAAGCTGTCCTGCAGGCTCAGGGAGCATCAGTGTCAGCGCGAACTATCCGTCGACATTTAAATGAAATGAAACGCTATGGCAGGAGACCCAGGAGGACCCCACTGCTGACACAGATAAAAAAGCAAGACTACAGTTTGCCAAAATGTACTTGAGTAAGCCAAAAGCCTTCTGGGAAAACGTCTTGTGGACAGATGAGACCAAGATAGAGCTTTTCGGTAAAGCACATCATTCTACTGTTTACCGAAAACGGAATGAGGCCTACAAAGAACAAAACACAGTACCTACGGTAAAATATGGTGGAGGTTCAATGATGTTTTGGGGTTGTTTTGCTGCCTCTGGCACTGGGTGCCTTGACTGTGTGCAAGGCATCATGAAATCTGAGGATTACCAAAGGATTTTGGGTCGCACTGTAGGGCCCAGTGTCAGAAAGCTGGGTTTGCGTCCAAGATCCTGGGTCTTCCAGCAGGACAATGACCCCAAACATACGTCAAAAAGCACTCAGAAATGGATGGCAAAGAAGCGCTGGAGAGTTCTGAAGTGGCCAGCAATGAGCCCAGATCTAAATCCCATTGAACACCTGTGGAGAGATCTTAAAATTGCTGTTGGGAAAAGGTGTCCTTCCAATAAGAGAGACCTGGAGCTGTTTGCAAAGGAAGAGTGGTCCAAAATTCCGGGTGAGAGGTGTCAGAAGCTTATTGATGGTTATAGGAAGCGACTGATTTCAGTTATGTTTTCCAAAGGGTGTGCAACCAAATATTAAGTTAAGGGTGCCAATACTTTTGTCCAGCCCATTTTTGGGGTTTTGTGTGACATTATGTCATATTTGCTTTTCTGCCTCTGTTTTATATTTGTTCCAATACATACAAAGGGAATAAACATGTGTATAGCAAAACATGTGTTAATGCAATACCTTTTTTGTGTGAAATACTTGATTTTCAGGAAAAATATCAAGGGTGCCAACAATTTCGGCCATGACTGTATATATATATATATATATATATATATATATATATATATATAGCAATAACACAACAGAGAGATAAAAGAAAGACGTTTAAGAAGGTAGAATACTTGCAGAAGTCCTGGTTTAAGCAGAGTTCAAGTGTCCTGAACAAAAGTGTCTCCTGAAGTTGGTTCCTGATGTTAAAAGGGAGAATCTCTTAATCTTCTCTCCAGGCATAACAGCCTGTTTTCTAGGAACCCAGCAGGGTGTCTCCTTAAAGCAGAGAACCAATCGCCTCATTTGGGGAGGGGTGTTTAGGCGGAGACCCAGGCTGTGACCCAAATCCCTCCCAAGTTTATACCATGGTCAATAACCTTCCATAGGTGCATGCAGCAGCCTAGAAACTGGCAGGTTAATATGCAGAATGATATTCTAAACGTACAGACATTAAATATGACATATCTAGCTGTGACGGTTAAAGAGATATCGCTTCCTACTCTCTGGTAGACTTTATCTAGGGGTGTAAGGTATCAGGTGACTCGCATTAAAATGACCTATCTGAATATATGCTTTGTTTTATTTTATCTTGTTCCTTCCGGGATTTATGAAATTTGTATGAAAAAGTGGTTTCAAGTGGGATGTATGTTTTACTGCTCCTCTGGAATGCTTTCATGTCCAGTGACTGACTGAATTATAGCTTTACGACCAGGCCAAGGCAAGATCCTGACAGACATCCTGGAACCAGCTAATTGGGTTTACAACCATGAAGTATATCCAGCTGTGCCCTGTGCACTCCTGAACTCAGCACACACACAGACCACATGCCATTCAAAAAAAAAAAAAAAAAGGGAGGGGGACTGATTTGGAGTGAGAATGACATTTGCAGAGTATGATCCAAATTCTGGTTGTCATTGTCCATATCTGTGCGCACAGTTATCACACCCTGACGAAGCGTGCTGTGACTGGACACCGCACAAGTTTGGCAGCTGATTTCAGCCAATGATTTTGGCTGAAGTCAGATAATCAGCTGTGAACAATCACACAGAGTTGTGTTTTTGAAAAACAGGGATAAAAAACAAAGTAAAAGCAGCACACATTACACACATTGTTAGGCACACAGTTAACCCTTTAATTGCCCCTGGATGTTAACTCCTTTCCAGCCAGTGTCATTAGTACAGTCAGTGTACAGTATTAGCACTGTATTAGTGTCACTAGCAACGTCCGTTAGTGACCTTCCCAGATAGTATATGTTAACGCCAGATTGCCCCGCCACCCTCTCACAGGCCCATTATAAGTCTCTGATCATCGCCGATGCAGAATAGTGTCTATAGCTGCATGAATTCCAGGATATACACCATAATTTGTAGATGCTATAGCTTTCGCACAAACCAATTAATAAACACTTACTGGTATTTTTACCATAGATATGTAGCAGAATACACTTTAGCACCAATTTTATGAAGAAATTTTGATTTAAAAAAAAAAAAAAAAAAAAATTATTTGGATAGAATTTTTTTATTTTTTTTTATTTTTGTCTTTTTTTTTTTTTTTTTTTTTGTTTCAATACAAAAATAAAAATCCCAGTGGTGATCAAATGCTGCCCTATTTGTGTGAAAAATATGATAAAATTTGATTTGCGTACAGTGTTGCATGACCACTCAAATGCCAGGTAAAGTAGAGCAGTACCGAATAGCAAAAAATGGCCTGGTCATGAAGGGAGTAAAACCTTTCTGAGTTCAAGTGGTTAAATATTACCTGCTGAGAGGACTTGAGGCCTACTTTATACCTCTCTTCTTCAATTTAGCTTGCTATTGCCTTGACTTGTCTGAATTTTTCTTTTCTTTTGCACAGTTTGTAAGACCTGTATCCTACGCTACTTAGAAGCACACAAATTCTGCCCCATGTGTGACTCTCAAGTGCACAAAGGACGCCCTCTGCTCAGCATAAGGTGAGAACTTGTCGAATTTAAAGTAAAATGAGAAGAAGAAACCATTAATCGGCATAGTTGTGATGCATAAAATCCTATTGTACTTATTGCTGCCCAGGAGAGATTACCGAATTTTGCACCAAATAATCTGCTATGCGTATTCAGAGTAGATCTTCAGCTGATATCCACTTTGCAGCTCAAGTGTTAGACTGAGAATATCACAACCACAATACAAAAAACAGAAGCGTGCTCGCACAGTGTGCTATATGAAATCTGTTTTTATTCATTAAAAGAATTACATTTACTCACAAACATGAGGTTTTTTTTGTTGCTGATCATCCAAACGCCGCTGGTTCTAGTTTACTTCCAAGGACACCAGGAAAAGAATAAAAGAAATGGAAGCTGCCAATCCAAACAAAGCCTGCCTTAGTTCACTTCAGGTTATCCCAGTGTACTGACACGTGTTTAACTTGTTCAAGTGCCATTTCTTTGATTTGTTTACTTTCTGTATGGTGGGACCTGTTTCCCTTGGATGTACCCTGAGCCAACAGTATGAATAAGTGAATAAGCTGTCATGATTACAATTACATTTGCTTCATTAAATGAATTACAAGAGATCTCATATACACGCAGTACGTTCTTGTGTATATTGTATAGATTGTAATGTCTCATTATTAAAGACAAAAGCAAAATCTTAGTCTAAAGCCAACTAAAAACCTATGTATGGGGAAAGGTTAAAACATCCATTAGCTCTTGCTGAAGAAAAAGTCAAATGACAGAGATGATGATTTTTTAATTCTTTTCTTAGTTGTAGAGTAAAGGACACAGGACTTTAGTCTTTAACTATTTGTTACCGTATTTTTCGCACCATAAGATGCACATGTTTCCCCCCCAAAAATGGGGGAAAATGTCTGTGCGTCTTATGGAGCGAATATGAAGCAGCCTGGTATTCTAACACAGCGGTGGAAATACTGAGCTGGCTGCTCAGCTCTTCTGTGCTGCTCGGTCCTACCATTTCCTCGGTCCTGCGCTGTCTTTTCTCCCTGCCGCCAGCATCTTTACTGTGGGCATCTGGCTGTGGCAGCTTACGGCTTCACAGCTGGGTGCCCACTGCGCATGCATGAAAAGCGCGCTGCACTTTGTGAATGGTCCGGCAGTCTTCTGGGACCTGTCGTGTGTCCCAGAAGATGGAGCAAAAATACGGTGTACACAGCTACCTTGGGTGACTGGAGACTGGCATAAAACAACTTCTACAGGGATATCACCTGTATAACCCTTCCCATTAACAGCTATCCTTAGTTTTTTGCTATTGTTTGTGGTTGCCCGTTGAGTTTATAGGTCCTGTTCTCTCTACTATTAAAAAAAAAAAAAAGTCTTCAGCATTGGTGTTAGTGGCTATAATAAAAAAAAATCCCCCCAAAAAAATCCCAACATTGGTGTCAGTGGCCACAATAATAACCCCCATCATTGGGGTTGGCGGCCACAATAATAACCTTCAATAGTGTTGTTGGTGATTACAATAACAACCCCCAGCGTTGGTGTCAGTGATCACAATCACCTACCAGAGCAGTTGTTGTTTCTTGGGCTTTTCATTAAACATTGGTATCTTAAAGTGGGAGTAAACTCCTTTGGTTGATTTTTTTTTATCTATAGGTAAGCCTATAATAAGGCTTACCTATAGGTACAGTAAGTATTAGTGGTGCACCGAAATGAAAATTCTGGTGCTGAAACTGAAAATTCAAAATGCACTTGGCCAAAAACCGAAGTGCGCAGTTTTTAAAAATGAATATATATTTTTTGGAAAAAAAAAACAATATATACTTTAATTTTTTGTAAAATATGAAAGAGAATGTTACGGCAAGTAAATAGATACCCAGCATGTCACGTTTTAAACTTGTGCACGCTCTTGGAATGGCGTGAAACTGCAGTACTTAAAAATCTCCATGGGCGATGCTTTAAAAACTTCTATAGGTTAGCAGTGTAAAGTTAGAGGAGCTATAGTGCAAGAAGTATTGCTCTTGCTCTGACGTTCGTGGCAATACCACACATGTGTGGTTTGAACATCATTTATATATGTGGGCATGGCCTACGTATGTGTTCACCACTATGTGGTGGGATGGGGGCACTTTAAACTTTAAAAAAAAATGTATTTAATTTGTTTGTTTTTGTTTTTTTTTGCACTTTTATTCTTATCACAAGAAATGCATGCATCCCTTGTGATAGAAATAATTAGTGACAGGTCCTCTTTATGGAGATATATGGGGTCAATAAGACCCCATATCTCTCCTCTGCATTGGATCAAAAAAAAGCATTGATCTAGTGCTTTAAAAGGAAAAAAAAATGGCCGGAACCGGAAGTGACATCGCTCCAGTCCTCCAAGGGCATAGAGATGAGTGGAGGCCATCTAGTGCTTTTAAAAAAAAAAAATGGCTGAAACTGGAAGTAACATCGCTCCGGTCCTCCAAGGGCATAGAGATGTGTGATGAGATGATCTTTCCTTCACTCATATCTATGCGCAGCGCCGGATCAATGGTTTCTCAGGTAAGGCTGAACTGCCGAGCGGCAGCTGGTGACAGCAGCGAACGGTGGTGAGGGGCCGGGTTTTTTCGGCACTTGTATCTGTTTTTTTTTTTTTTCCATTCAACGGCCGAAAGGGGTGTTTTCGTCTGAATCGTTTCTGTCACCGGAATGTCTGTGCATCTCTAGTAAGTATCTCCTAAATGTGCACTGTTTAGGAGATATTCAATTTAGGAGGAGCCGGTGAGGTCACCAGCATATGCACTGTAAAGGAGCGACATGCCCGTGCCATTCCTTCATAGCCCTGTGCCGTAAACAGTGACTCTTGCACACTTGCGCAGGAGTGATGTCATCACGGCTCGGCCATTCATACCACCAGAGTCTGCAAACCCAGAGGGAAGAACGGGTGAAGATAGAAGCACATACAGTGTTGACAGCGTGTCGCTGGGGGGGGGGGCTTCGTTTTTAGGTAAGACAGTCATGTGCGAGTATGCGGTGCAAGCAAAACCAGATTTGGCACCTTTTTTTTTTTTTTCAATATTTTTATTCAAGTTTTACAAAATAGAACATTATGGTAAATTTTTTTTTCCACACAATGTACAAAAGGTTTATCAACGATGAAGTAAATGGTGCATTAAAAAAAAAGTGGGCGAGGGGGTTGCCCCATGGAGAATGAGTCTCAGGGCAATGGCAGTTTGTATATGCAAGGCACAAAATCACCTCCATGGTGGGTCAATCAACAGACAAAATGGGCATAAAAGAATAAAGGAAAGCGAAGAGGGGAAGAGAAAACAATGCATTTGGCATCCTACTTACGCAGATAGTACTATAACCACTGAATTTGCTTGATCAATTGCTGTGTCTCTTAAAACAGGAATATACTCGCCTCCTTTCCAGCACTGCAGTGTCCCAGAGCTCCCCACTGCCGCTGACCTTTTCAGTCCGTCAGTTTCATTGGCAGAGCCGAGATGATGTCACTCCTGCGCATGTGCAGGTATTCAATCATCTCAGCATTGCATGCACAGTTCAGTGTACAGGGTGTATAAGCAGGTAAGGAACTTTAATGCAGAAGAGACAGTGGGGGAGATTTACTAGATTTTCTAAAATTGGAAACTGGTACACGCATATTCTGGTGCAACTGTGCATGGTAGCCAATCAGCTTCCTACCTCAGCTTGTTCAATTAAAGCGGAGTTCCACTCACTCTGTAAAAAAATTAGGTCAGCAGCTACAAAAGCTGTAGCTGCTGACTTTTAAATAACAGGTACTTGCCTGTACCACGATCCCGCGTTGCCCCCCCGCAGCTCGTTTCACTGGCTGTCCTGTATTCCAGGCGCTGGCATCTTCAGTGTGGGCACCCGGCTGTGACAGTTTGCGGCTTCACAGCTGGGTACCCACTGCGCATGCATGAGTAGTGCTGCACTTCCTGAATGGCCCTGTCGTCTTCTGGGACCTGTCACGTGTCCCACAAGACTTCGGGGAGGGAGGGTAGGATGACAACTTCCGCTTCCGATCACAGCGGAAGTGGGAGCGGGTATCTGTCAAATTCGGGTACCTGTTTACCCTCGCCCCAAAGCTGTCAATCCTTAATGGGGAGCAGGGGACCATTCTTTAAAGTGGAACTCCGCTTTAAGCTTTGACAATAAAACTCGATATATGATTGATGCAGAGATGCATCAGATTTTGTAACATGCAGTTTTAGTAAATAACCCCCAGTATGTATTTTTTGCATTCAAAATCCTGTTTGCTTTTTTTCCCGCTTAAGGACCCTGCAAGTATAGAAATATACCTGCCGGAGGAAGAATATCAGCCCTACCCAGTTTTTTTTTTTCTTGCCAAACAACTCCGAAGCATCTAGATTCTGATCTCCACAACATAAAGGCTAATTTTTAGGTAATCCCAAAATAGGAATTGGGGGATTAATGACTTTTGAGACAACACAGGAAGTGAGCAGTCAACCCAGGACAGCTCTGAATTTCTGATGTAATAACCAGGTAATGTTTCCACTTGTCAAAAGTTACAAATGATATGTTTAACAGATAAGGGAGAAAATAAAAGAAATTCATTGTTGGGGTTTACATACACTTACAGTATGTCCAAAGCTTGTTTGGCCTACTTATGTGTCACCGGAATACAATTATTTTTGTCCTCCTGTGATCCAGAGTCAGCTGATAGAGGGATATTGCCCACTATCGGTTGACAGGGCAAAGGCAAGCTTTGGAAGAATCCCGACAATATTATTGGGATCCACCAAGCTTCCTGATTGACAGCTTGCTCCACCTTTCAGCACCCTGTTGAGAGCTGGAACCAGCTGTGTCACTCCCTAGCCTGCCTGACACTCCAGCGAGGGACAGAGTGGAGAGCAGTGACTGATGGCTACCGCTCTTAGCTTGGAACAGACAGAGAACTGAGCAATCACATCACTACATGGTTTTGGTGCCAGCATAGGACTGCTGCAGCATCGCACAGATGTAGCATGGAGGTTGGTATGGGTGTTTTTGTTTTTGTTTGTTTTTTTTTCTTTAAGCCTATACTACTTCTTTAATTAATGTGTTGAGAAAAAATAAGTAAGTGTACAAATTCTGTTTTTTTTTCTGTATGGCAGTATGTCTAATGACTATTTGCTTATTTAGGTCTGATAAAATATTACAAGACATTGTATACAAGCTTGTACCCGGACTCTTCAGAGGTAGGCAAATATTTTGTGTGCGTTCGTTGTCCTAGTGGTGCACTACACTGTTACAGCATCTACAGTTGTGACCAAAATTATTCAACCCCCAATGCTGTAAAGGGGTTTAGGGACTATAGTGTACATTTGGAATTGTATTCAAGAATCAAATCCTACAAGGACGTTGTAACTACCCAAATGCAACTAAAATGACATCAATTGTTTATGTAATACAGTAGTAAATGGTTCTTATGTGGTTTCTTCATTGCCACAATTATTCAACCCCTTAAAGACTACCACTCTGAAGAACAGAGGTTCATACAGGTGCTTTCCATCAGGTATTGAAAACACCTGTGGATGTCACCGAGCAGCAATCAAGCATAATAAGCACCAATTAGGCAGCTTTAAAATGACTGTGATACTCAGCTCCTTCTAGACATTTACAACATGGTGAAGGCAAGAGAATGGTCCAGGAAGACAAGAGAAGAGGTGATTTCTCTTCACAGGAAGGGCAATGGCTATAAGAAGATTGCAAAGATGTTAAACATACCAAGAGACACCTTAGGAAGCATCATTCGCAAATTCAAGGCAAAGGGCACTGTTGAAACGCTACCTGGTCGTGGCAGAAAGAAGATGCTGACTTCGACTGCTGTGCGCTACCTGAAGCGTAGAGTGGAGAGAAGTCCCCGTGTGACTGCTGAGGAACTGAGAAAAGATTTGTCAGATGTGGGTACAGAAGTTTCAGCCCAGACAATAAGACGCACACTGCGTAATGAAGGCCTCCGTGCCAGAACTCCCAGGCGTACCCCCTTGCTGTCTCCAAAGAATAAGAAGAGTCGACTGCAGTATGCCAAAAAGCAATGTGGACAAAAACCACAAAAGTTGTGGGATAGTGTTCTGTGGACTGATGAAACAAAATTAGAACTGTTTGGGCCCATGGATCAACGCTATGTTTGGAGGAGGAAGAACAAGGCCTATGATGAAAGAAACACCTTGCCTACTGTGAAGCATGGTGGAGGGTCAATCATGCTTTGGGGCTGTTTTGCTTCTGCAGGTACAGGGAAGCTTCAGCGTGTGCAAGGTACCATGAATTCTCTTCAGTACCAGGAGATATTGGATGGAAACGTGATGCAGTCCGTCAACACCTGAGGCTTGGGAGACGTTGGACCTTTCAACAGGACAATGATCCCAAGCATACCTCCAAGTCCACTGAGCATGGTTGCAGAGGAAAGGCTGGAACATTTTGGAGTGGCCATCGCAGTCACCAGACTTAAATCCGATTGAGAACCTCTGGTGGGACTTAAAGAAAGCAGTTGCAGTGCGCAAGCCTAAGAATGTGACTGAACTGGAGGCCTTTGCCCATGAAGAATGGGCGAAGATACCCGTAGACTCGCTGCAAGACACTTGTGTCAAGCTATGCTTCACGTTTAAAAGCTGTTTAACTGTAAAAGGATGCTGTACATCGCACAGTGTAGCATGGAGGTTGGTACTGGGTGTTTTTGTTGTCACTTGGGGGTTTTTTTTCTTTAAGCCTATAAAACTTTAATTAATGTGTTGAGAAAAAATAAGTAAGTGTACAAATTCAGTGGTTTTTTTGTTATGTTAGTATGTCTAATCTGACCTACAAGTGCTTATTTAGGTGTAAATATAACAAGACATTGTATACAAAAGCAATGTACAAACTGGGACTCTTCAAGGTAGGCAAATTTTTTGTGTGCGTTCGTTGTCCTAGTGGTGCACACACTGTTACTGTATATAAATCTTTCTGACCAGCTGCAAATTTTGCAAAAGTTTATCGTGAGTTTGCATAATGTCAGTTCACAAAGGCATAACCTGTGCCATAGTTGTAGCTTTTTTTTTTTTATACAGGAATTCTTAAAACAACCAATTTTTTTTATTTATTTTATTTCTTTAAAGACTTTACAACCTGGAACTAAGGACTTTACGGTGTGCTTTCCTTATAGTCACATTTGCATTCTTTGTATAGAAGTCAATTCTAAAAGATTATTGCATGACTATTTACCTCTTCCTCCCACACTTAAAAAAAAAAAACAAAAAAAAAAAACAAAAAACATGCTGGCAGGTTAATTGGCTCCTGTCTAAATTGGCCCTAGTATGTGTATGTATGAATGTGAGTTAGGGACCTTAGATTGTACGCCCCTTGAGGGTTAGGGGCTGATGTGAATGTTCAATATATATGAAAAGCGCTGCGTAAATTGACGGCGCTATATAAGTACCTGAAATAAATCTACTGCTACCTTTTTTTTCTCACCAACAGTGAAATTTATATAAGGTGTCTATTGAGGATAATGTACAAAGGAGCTATTCCAGGTGGCAATAGTATACTGATCCATAATATAAAACATTGACTCACGAGGAATACAGGCTTTCAGTCAGTGTCACTTTAATAGCATCATGGGTCTCTGGGCAAAACAATGAACTGGGGCCCCTATCAGGGACACATATTAGGCGCACCTCGGTTTACAAAATTTTTTCACATTACGAAGCAAGTTTCCCCAGGATGCATTGCGCCTGTGAGGTTTATAGCGCCGGCCCCATGCCTTTATAAATTGCACTTTTTAAAAGCGTTTTGAACAGATAAGCCTTTTATTTACTTTTTTTCTGACCTCCGGAAAGGATTAATTGGTTTTCAGTGCCTTTTGGTGAGATATCAGACAAAGATAACAGACGCCTGAAGTCTCACTTTTGAGACAGAGAAAGGGACTAAGGACACATTCCCCAGTCCCTTTCTCTGTAACCTCAGCAACTGCAGATGGATGAGGAGTAGACAAAGGCTCCTGTCCACTCATAAACTGAAGCATAGTAAACCCAGCTTACTATGCTTCAGTTAGCAATGAATACAGGAAGTGATCAGTACTGATCACTCACGGGGTTCACTTAGAAAAGGAGGGGACCATTAAATTATTTACCGGCCCCCTTCCCTACTCTCCATCCTGAAGATGGAAGAGGAAAGGAGGGAAGCCTGTAGAGATGCGGGCAAGGGGGGCATATGGGAGTTCCAGGCAGCTAGAGAAATTCATATCATTGTAGCGGGTAGGGAAAATAAGTGAAATCAAGATTTTGTGGCTTTCACTGCAGCAGCTAGAGCAGGAGATATCCACTTTCAGCTGCTGCAGTGAGAGCCACAAAAAATCAGTTTCAATTCCCTCACCTGCTGCACAGATCGCCTGCTCTATCCACACACAACCTCCCTGTTGGTGGGTGCTGCAGGGGCTCCCTATGCACCTGGGGCCCCTAGGCTGTGCCCAAAGGTGTCCATGTGAAAAGACTGCCTGCTTTCAGTAGTTAACCATCTCATTTTGAAAAAAGAAGATTGCACTCAATACAATGGTAATTTTTTTGTGAACTGAACATTTTTGAACCAAAAAATTTAGAATGAGCTGATAAACACTAGATTGTTAAATAGCATTCTATTATTTATATATTAAATTATGACTCTCAACAGTTGTATAATGTTTCCCCTTTAGATGAAATGAAACGACGACGGGATTTCTATGCCTCTTATGCACGTACACATGGTCAGTACCATTTCATATAAAAATTTTAAGGCAAAGATATGTTTTAGTTTAAGATATGACTTGCAACACTGAAAATAGGTAACCAGATTGTTGTGTTCTGGTCTTCCCACTAAACAACAAAACTTGAAACAAAAGAAACGATTTGTTTAAAGCAAAAGATCACCCAAATGTGAGGACCCAGGAATTGGGTACCTTGGGCACCTAAAAATTACATATATTCTTTGTAATCACTGTTAAAGTAAAAAAAAATTCCTTGGATTCTGGTAAGTTATGGCTTCTTGTCTGAATCTCACAAAAGCTTGGCCACATTTGTATTCTCATTAACCACTGTAGGACCATGAACATAGGCGGTACATCCCAAAAGATTTCAATGGAGGATGCAGAGCAAGAGTTGACAACATTCGTGTTTTTTGTTTTTTTATTTCCCATGAGTTTTGGACGGGTAGTCTATAGAAATGTACAGAGCTGTCTCACATTTACAGTATTCTGCTCAGTCAGCTTAGAAATAGTCGATAGAAGTTAGTGTTTGATAGATGCTACTAGTAGTCTGACTGGTCGAGCTTTTGATTGATTCAGGGTTTCTTTACCCTTGCCGGTGAAGATAAGGGAGGGCCTTTGAATAGTTTTAATAAATAATTTGATTTACCCTCTAAATATATCCTGTGCTGAAAGTAACATGTAGGAAGCTATTCCTGATCACCCTTTGAATATGCTAGTTGCATGGCTGTCATGCTAGTCCAGTGACATCAGTACTTTGAGTCAGTGACCTGCAGCAAGTAAAGTTGGTATAGTTCTCAGAAATAGAATATATTAACCCCTTGATGCCGACGTCGTACAAATATGCGTCCTCACAGAACTGGGCTTTTTTCCATGGGGCCACATATTTGCGTACCTGTCTTTCTGCTGGGAGCGCGCTGCACAGCACGCTACCAGCACAAAGATCGGGGTGTCACTGAGAGCCACGGGTCCCGTTTTAACAATCGATAGCCAGGACCCCCAATTCCGGATCACATGATTGCCTTGATAGCCTCTGATTGGCTATCACAGTGATCAGTCACTGTACAGCCCGGCCCCCTTGTGTTTTTTTTTTTTTTTTTTTTTCTCTATGAATGGAGGAGAGAGATACATTGTATCTCTCAACTCCTAGCATAGAGGGGAAAAAATGTTTGTTAATAAAAAAAAAAAAAAGATAAATATTAAAAAATACCTAGATCAAGGTTTGATCTAGTTTAGTGCCAGGGTAAGTGTTTGGGTCAGGGTCAAAGGTCAGGATTTAAAAAAAACAAAATTGGTGTTAGTGTGTTTTAGGTAAACAAAATACACACTATTGTTTCTGGGCTGTACTACGGGTACAAATAACATACTCATAATGGTATCGCTGCGATCGTCAAGAGCTGGAAAATTTATTTTGGGTTCTTTGGTGGTAGGTTATGGTAGTTACAAGAAACGCATAGCTAAATTTAAAAAAATTATTTATTTATTTTTTTACTATTTTGGGCCAGTTTTCCTATGATAAAATAAATCTGGAGATATCCATTACCATTTACCACCAAATGAAAGTGCAGTTTCTACATCCAGGTGAATTTATACCTTGGTTTTTTTTTTTTTCAGGACAAAGTAGTGGTGATGATATTACGGTTTTTCTAACACATGTCAATGTTGCAAAATTGTGCTTATGCATTAATATTTGTTTTACCCTTAGGCATGAAGGGGTTAAGATATATGTAGATGACCAATAGCAGGCTATGTATTTCAATCAGCGTAGATTGCTTTTAGTATTGAACGTATGATTATGGGCATTTTCCAGCAGCTTTTCTTTTTCCTAATATAAGTGTTCACTCTTGGTCGTTCTATTCTTTATGATCTCTTTATTGCTATAGAATATCCATATATGACCATGGTATAAGTGGAATCTGGGAGGTGGTATTGTGGTCAATAATATTTTATTGCTGTTGTGGACTTTGATAGCAAACAGTGGCTCCAGCATTGAGCAGGGGGACAAAGTGACGGCGAGTGGCGACATGGTGGTACATGAAGAGGAGAATATCAGCCTTTCCATCCAATTCTCTGAAGATGCCAGGTAAAGCCTGTGCTTTTCACATTTGTTGAATTTCCTGTCAATGTAACGTCATCACGGTTTTTGACATTTAAAATAATACTCTTAAAGTATAATTAAAAGCATAACTTTTTTTTTCTAATTTTGGACAGATTAGAAAGGGGTTTGAACACTTGCCAGTTTTTATTGCAGTCTGTGCTCCCATTAGGGAGATTTCCCCTCTCTATTTCTCCTGTTTACCATTCTAATTGAAAGCAAAAGTAAAAGAAACCCCCACGTTTTGGGTTGTACCCAGAAAAGTGATAGAGGGGAAATCTTCCAATGGGACACTAGTTCTGGTGACCTGGGGTCCCCCAAAGAATTCCCTTCATTTGCAAGGATTTCCTCTCACTTTCTGTTTTGACCATGGGACAGGAAGTGAAGGGAAATCTCTGCAATGAGACATAGATGGTAAAAAAAAACAAAAAAGATGTGACGGGTTATACCACTCCCTTACTCTATCCAAAATGAAAACAAAAAGTTTTGTCTGTAGTTCTACTTAAGCCTAACACTCTTATTTTGAACCCAATGGATAAGTCCTCTTATTGATGGGACTTTTAAGGCATAAATTTTATCAAATAATAAGCTAACAATTAAGCAGTTTAAAAGAAAAAAAAAGACTATTTTATTTTTCCAATCTTAAAAAAGACTTATGAATACTGCCATACTTTGTATTTAAATTCCTATGTCTTTTTTAAGATTGTAAAAATAAAATCGTCCTTCTTTTTTTTTTTTTTTTTTCTGCTGAATTGTTAGCTTACTATATGATAACATTTGTGCCTTAAAAGTCCCATCAATAAGAGGAGTTTTCCATTGTACTTTTTAGGGATGATGACACCCCTTCCTTTCTTTCATCTTTTGAACCCAATGCATTTTGCAAAATTCTGCCCCATGGTCAACAAAAACTTTTCAACTAAAAATATTGTCGCTTTGGAATATTATTATTATACATATTTATTGCTTTATGGTTTATACACTTTGTCAACAGGGACGACTTACGGGATTCAGCTGAAAGTGACAATGCAGAGAAAGTAAGCTGAGCTGCATTATTATCTTTTTTTCCTTCCTTTTTAAAAATCTTCTTTTATAAAAACCTATACAACGTAGAAAGAAAATTGTATTTGGAGTTTTAATTGTGTTACCACCTCTTTCCTTACAGAGGAACAGTCTTCGCTTCTTGCGTTGTCCTGCAGCAATGACCATCACACACCTCGCTAAATTCTTGCGGAACAAAATGGACGTTCCAAACCGGTACAAGGTATGTCACAAAATCAGGAACAGCCCTTTGGGTTTTTTTTTTTTTGTTTTTTGAAGGTATTCCACATTTCATAATGTCAAAGCTTTAAAGGTTAAGTTCACCTTTAGTAACATGTTACACCTATATTTAGGTGTAACATGTTGCTAAATGAGCAGCCCCCACACCACCCTTAGCCCCCATTGTAACGGGGCTGGAGATCTTCAATTTAAAAAAAAAAAAAAACATGGCCTTGCATCTCTGCCCACCCAGCTACCTCATTCTTTCGTAGAGTTCTATGAATGGGAAAAGTACAACTATTGTCAGCCATTGAAAATGTTTAACTAGATATTGTGAGATTTTCAGGGTGCAAATTTACAGTGATAAACAGAAAAACCACAATAAATTTTAAAAAAAACAGGGGAAAGGGTAAATAATTACAATACTGTAAAACAAAAATTTAACCACTTCCCAACCGGCCGTTGCATATAAACGGCCGGACGGTGGCAGTGCAGGGTCGGGTGGCCGTTTATAAACGGCCTCACTGTACCCTGCTTGTGCGCGCTCCCTAGGAGCGCGCAGCACCACGATCCGGTGCACGCTGTGTCCTCCGGACACAGTGAAACACTGATTGTCGGACGGGACCTCTGTACAAGGTCCCGATCATGTGATCACTGATTGGCCAATCAGTGATCACATGCAAAGTAGTAAGCAAGATGTCACTTGTGACATCATTGTTTACTACGTGTGAAATCTGTGAATGATCACAGAGGTCACATGGTACAAGGCTATTCACAACAGTCTTGTACCATGTGACGAGCTGTGACCAATCACAGCTCACTCAGTACTTCTCAATGAGTGCAAGAATGCACACAGAGAGAAAGAGAAATGAATGCTTTTACATCCTATATGGGTGTAAAAGCAATCCGTGTAAAAAAAAAAAAAAAAAAAATCTTCATCACCCCCCCACAAGTAGTACAGTGTCACCATGGTGACACTGTACTGCTAGGGTGACAGTATGTAAAAAAATTTAATAAAAATAAAAAATAATATAAAAATGTAAAAAAAAATGTTTAAAAATTATTTTTGGTTATAAACTAATTTGGATTTTTTTTTTTACTAAAAAGATAACGGAATAAATTTTGGCAAAGATTTATGATGAAATCTTATTTATTTGCAAAATTTTATAAAAAAAAACACTTTTTTTTCAAAATTTTTGGACTTTTTCAATTACATAGCAAAAAAAAAATAAAAATCCCAGCGGTGAATAAATACCACCAAAATAAAGCTTTATCTGTCTCAAAAAAATTGTAAAAAATTCATTTGGGTACAGTGTTGCATGACCGCGCAATTGTCATTCAAAGTGTGATAGCGCTGAAAGCTGAAAATTGCCCTGGTCAGGAAGGGGGTAAAAGTGTCCGGTCTGGAAGTGGTTAAGCAAGGCTGTATTGTTGCAGTAATTCCCTACATGTTTCGCCCAACAAGGGCTTCTTCAGGGGAGAAAGAGAAAAGCTTCAACCGCAATGCAGTCTACAATATATCAAAAAGAATATACATAAACAAGCTTGTAGCTCTCAATGAACTACCAGGGCACTGGTAAGCACTTGAAATCAGATCTTCTGATCATTGTGTAATTGCCTGCATGTACTAGGTATGGGCAGACCTCTACACTGACAGTCTGCAGGAGCCTGAGATTGCACCTGTGATCTGCTGATGGTGGGTACAGTGCTTTATAGGCTCCTAATGAAAAAAAAATAAATGCACATTTTTTTTTTACCTGCAAAAAGATAGATAAAAATCATAGATGATGAACCAAAATTTGGCTGGTTCAGCAGGGACCAGTTAAATTTTTATCCATGTGGGCTGCTGTCAAACGACAGAAGTCCATCTAATGATTGAGTGCTATCGAGCGAGAATGTGGAAACTTTGGCTTTGGCCAATGGGCTACAATCGCTGATCCGTGTATTCTGACAGCGGAGAGAATACAGGTGGGGAAGCAATCTGTAAATTTTTTTCGGTCAGCTCGCTGGCTGAAAAAAAAAAAAAAGCCTTAGTCCTTAACTTTAGTGTATCTGGACTTCAACAAAGTATATACCTCTCGGTGTAGGTCTCATTATCTTACATACGTCTCAATTTGAGCATGTTAGTACCCTTTTAATGTGTATGTACATTCTTCATACAACCCCCTGAAAGTACCCAAAATGCTTAAAAAAGAATTTCAGATGTGGATATTTTTACATGGTTACATTGGTCCAAGGTATGGCATATAATACCATACCTGTGGGATCTCTCTGGAGGCTGAAAATTACTGTAGCAGGCACGGCTCAGCATGGGCACCATTCATAGGTCACTTTGTCCAATCACAGAAAATGCAAAGTGGGGAGCATGATGTCACCAGCCCACCTTCCTAGCTTCTCCAATTAACCACTTGCCTACCGGGCACTTTTACCCCCTTCATGCCTAGACCAATTTTCAGCTTTCAGCACTGTCGCACTTTGAATGACAATTGCGTGGTCATGCAACATTGTACTCATATGAAACTTTTTACCATTTTTTTCACACGCATAGAGCTTTCTTTTGGTGGTATTTAATCACCACTGGGCGGTTTTATTTTTTGCACTATAAACAAAGAGCAAAAAATTTGAAAAAAATAGGTGGTCTTCCGGGTCTTTTGGTGTTGCTGAGCTCACCGGTGCGTTCCTTCTTTTTAAGAATGTTCCAAACGGTTGTTTTGGCCACGCCTAATGTTTTTGCTATCTCTCTGATGGGTTTGTTTTGTTTTTTCAGCCTAATGATGGCTTGCTTCACTGATAGTGACAGCTCTTTGGATCTCATCTTGAGAGTTGACAGCAACAGATTCCAAATGCAAAAGCACACTTGAAATGAACTCTGGACCTTTTATCTGCTCATTGTAATTGGGATAATGAGGAAATAAACACACACCTGGCCATGGAACAGCTGAGAAGCCAATTGTCCCATTACTTTTGGTCCCTTAACAAGTGGGAGGCACATATGCAAACTGTTGTAATTCCTACACCGTTCACCTGATTTGGATGTAAATACCCTCAAATTAAAGCGGACAGTCTGCAGTTAAAGCACATCTTGTTCGTTTCATTTCAAATCCATTGTGGTGGTGTATAGAGCCAAAAATTTTAGAATTGTGTCGATGTCCCAATATTTATGGACCTGACTGTATCTGGTTAATTTAAAATAGAACATTTTTTTTTTTTTAATTTTTGTGAGAGTAAGGGAGGGTTATAGCCCCTGACAGTTTTATTTTTGCCATTTGTGTGCCAGAAAAAAGTGAGAGGAAATCCCTTCAAATTGAGGAAATCCCTGGTTGTCACCAGAACTAGTGCGCCTATTTGGAAGATTTCCCATTTCTTACTGTTCTGGTAACAACATAAAATTTTAGGATTTTCTTATACTTTCACTTTTGACGAGAACCGTACACATGACAAATACTGTAGAGAGGGTAAAGGTCCATTCACACTGTTTTAAAAAAACATATGGCTGGATGAGAGTGGTGCTTGCACCTAAATACACAGGAGTTGAAAGGGTCTGGAGCAGCAGTATAGATATTTATTCTATCACAAGCAGTCATCATTATTGTGAGCAAAATTGCTGTTGATATTAGAATATTCTTTTTGTGAATACATTTTTTTGAAGAGGTGGTGTTTTCCTTCATGATTTTTCTTTCACTTTGTAAACTGTGTTTTTGTTGATTTGATTGAAGGTGGAGATTCTCTATGAGGAAGAGCCGTTGAAGGACTATTACACCCTAATGGATATTGCTTATATTTACCCCTGGGGCCGGGTAAGTTTTTTCTCTTCTTTAATAATCGACTTCTATTTTAGGAGATATCGCAATAGGAAGTAAATTCTTCCTAAAGGGACCTTTATGACTTTTTTTTTTTTTTTTTTATTCTTTATTTTGGACAGGATATAAACTGATAAATACACAGCCAGTACACATTCACACGAATATATAATTGCTCACAATACACTTATAAAAGCAGAAGGTATACCTGGCATGCAATAGTTCACGTTGGCTTATACTGTACGTTAAAGTGTCCATAAAGCTTGACTCAGCTTACTCGTAAAAGTTGGAGAACCCGCACATGCCCATTATGCTTCCTGGGCTCTGCGGACCCAGGCCAAACATGGCAGGTGCCACTGAGTGGAGGGGGAGATGACCAACAAATGAACATTCGCTGACCACCTCTTACTGTTATGAAGTTGAAGTTTTACATGTCACTTCTGGGTCAGTAACTCGGGTCGTTGGTCTTCCTCCCCTTCACCCAGCAGCACACACCATGCTGATATGGGATCCACTGATGGGTTTGCAGTGCCCAGGAAGAAAGGCAGGGGTAGATGGAAGTGATTGGGCAATGTCCCCATGTCGCTTTCATATAGCTAATAAATCGTGATGTTTGTTCCATCAGCTTCGTTGGAGGACAGGTGAAACATCAGGAATATTTTAGACCCCTGTCATTAAAGAGAATTTGTCATCAAAAATGCATCACATGGGGGACTTTTTTTTTTTTTTTTTTTATTCCCTATGAGGAAAAAAAAAAGCTTTGTAAAAAATATATTTTTTAACTTGTAAAAGATTACATTTACACCAAAGTACCTAAAATCCCCCCCCCCCCCCCCAACCCTCACATTCATGTGCAAATGGATTGAAATTTGGGTGTTTCAGCGGGAACTGCGGCCGAATAGTGATCCAAGTGTGACCATTCCCGTTCGGGATGACTTGATCTAGTGATCAGCAACCTGAGCAGGACTGTCTATATATTTTTGCTTGATAAGCACTGTGACGGACCGCCTAGCACCCCTCCTGGGTGCTCCCGTCAGAGAACTGCTTCCTCACCGCTGGCACTCGGGACCAAGGTATTATAGCTGGGCATTGCACTCAAGAACAGATGACATTAGCTTAGGTGCAAGTGGAACTACTTTATTGAACAGAAATACAGGCTTTTATGCACTTCAGAAATAGGGGCAGTTCCCACATGAACAGTAAAAAAAAATATTACACATTGGGATAAACATCCCACACTGATTAGATAACGAGGTTAAGTTGACACAAGACTAGTCCAATAATGTAGGAATCTCCAGGAGGACTAGGCCACAGACAGAAACCATAGTTGGCACAATAACTCAATTAACAATGCGACAAAGACACAACCATAAACAGATTACAACAGGAGACCTCGGCATTAGGTTGTTTTGAGCTGAATATATTAACATCTGCTCTGAGTCTAGGAGGGGGGTTGAAGCAGTCAAATGTGGTTTGGGCACACACCCCAAATCTGTATCCTGGTCCTCCAGTTTCCAGAGTCTGTGTGTTTCGGGGAGACATGGACTTAAATCAAAAATAAAATTACTCTAATGTTATACTATAAAGAGTGAATACTTGTGAGCTATTATGAATGAGGTATTCAGTAAGCTATTAATTTATTGTCTACTTGTATGGTGTACTAGGTTCGCTGGCACTTACACAAACCCACTTAATTGTGTTCCTATTGTACAATTGTATAAATTAATTTATAAATCAATTTATAGTGCCGTGCTCCTATTTGCAAAATCCTTAACTATAAATAATCTCACACTTATAAATACACTAAGAGTGCTTAAGTTGATACATAAGTAATATTATATCAAATAAATATCTGTGACTTGTAAATAAATAAAAATAAATTAGATTATATTATAAATTAATCAAAATCATAATCTGTGGTAATACATATCATGTGTGATCAATTAATCAATATTGTGCAAATTCATAAGTGGATGTACATAAATTAATAAAGTGCATAAATAAAGTCTTTTATAAATATGTGCAAATGTGCAGGTGAATTCCTTTTTCCTCCCTCCAGGTGCCGTGTGTGGTCTCAATATGCGCTCACCTTAATATTTTCCCAAATATATTTAGGCAAATAGACTTAATCCTTCCAGGATTGATGGGATAATGCTCATATGCAAGATGTTCCAGGGATAATATAGATCTATTGGAATCCTCCTGTGCTCTCCTCTTTCTCCATATGCAGCTGTTCATGCATGAGTATTAACAAGCTCTATGAGTATCTCCCATTTCCCCTCCTGGGGACACCTCTTCCTCTTATCCTCCTTTCACCAGTATGGGGAATATATATCAAATGAAACAAAGAAGAAAGACCATGGTGCCTTATCTTTGTATGAAAAAGTGATTTATTGCTGCCAGGTGCGGTGATACACAGCAGTATATGGCACTATTGTGTACAGGTCAGCAGTGGATAAAAAAATCAGCAGTAGATATATATTACTCTGCCTTTGCCTCTCTGTCTGCCTCTGCTTCTGCTGGAATCGCCGAACCTCTCCGATGCAACGTCGGGAGGGGCTCTGACGTCACGACGTTGCATCGGAGAGGTTCGGCGATTCCAGCAGAGGCAGACAGAGAGGCAAAGGCAGAGTAATATATATCTACTGCTGATTTTTTATCCACTGCTGACCTGTACCACAATAGTGCCATATACTGCTGTGTATCACCGCACCTGGCAGCAATAAATCACTTTTTCATACAAAGATAAGGCACCATGGTCTTTCTTCTTTGTTTCATTTGATATATATTCCCCATACTGGTGAAAGGAGGATACGAGGAAGAGGTGTCCCCAGGAGGGGAAATGGGAGATACTCATAGAGCTTGTTAATACTCATGCATGAACAGCTGCATATGGAGAAAGAGGAGAGCACAGGAGGATTCCAATAGATCTATATTATCCCTGGAACATCTTGCATATGAGCATTATCCCATCAATCCTGGAAGGATTAAAAGTCTATTTGCCTAAATATATTTGGGCAAATATTAAGGTGAGCGCATATTGAGATCACACGGCACCTGGAGGGAGGAAAAAGGAATTCACCGGCACATTTGCACATATTTATAAAAGACTTTATTTATGCACTTTATTAATTTATGTACATCCACTTATGAATTTGCACAATATTGATTAATTGATCACACATGATATGTATTACCACAGATTATGATTTTGATTAATTTATAATATCTAATTTATTTTTATTTATTTACAAGTCACAGATATTTATTTGATATAATATTACTTATAAATACACTAAAGAGTGCTTAAGTTGATACATAAGTGTGAGATTATTTATAGTTAAGGATTTTGCAAATAGGAGCGCGGCACTATAAATTGATTTATAAATTAATTTATACAATTGTACAAAATTACTCTAAAGGTTCTCCCAAGCACACACACCTCCCAAAGAATAGAACCCAGTCAGATGCCAAGGCCCATGGTCAGTAGACAAGAGGCTAGCCTGCAGTCCCCTCCAAAAGCCCCTGTCCCAATTATGTCTGTCACAAGCGCTTGCAGCCAGTCTGCACAGTAGAGGGATTCCCCCTTGAATATGTGGATGGGGGATTGGCTAGGTTGAGTTTTTTTTGTTTTTTTGTTTTTTTTTTTTTTCTTTTTTTTTGATTAGCTGGCTGGACATGGCCTGTTGGGCTGGGGAGGAGTCCTGGATCCACTCATTCAGGGGATATGTCATCAGAGGAAGCTCAGCATCTAATTTTTGTTTGGGAGCGAAAGATAGTTAGACAATCCCTTAAGCACTGACCCTCCCACCTTCAGGGATACCCAGTCAGGGTACATTAGGAGGAGGCCATGGCAGTGACGTATATAAATCATCAGGTGGACAGCAGAACTCACACTACTTTCAGAGACGTCGATATAATTCTCAGCCTGTCTGACTGTCGGCATCTGTATCCCAGAAAATGGTCTGTGCACTCAGAGGTGTTCAAGCTCTAACAAAGGTGGGGAAGTGGACTTCCTGGCGTCCAAGTTCAACAACAAAAATTTTAAGCCACGAGGAAAGATCCTCAGACCTTTGCATTGAATGGCCTAGTCACTAGATGGGATCAGGTAAAGTGGATTTATGCTTTTCCCCCTCTCCAGCTCCTTCCTCGCTTGCATCACAGGTTAGACATCAAAGGCAATCTGGTGATTCTCATTGCACCAAATTTTCCAAGTAGGGCGTGGTACTCAAACATACTCTAAGCTCCTACCAGGCAGTTCGTGAGTCCTCCAGGGTTGTCCAGACTGTCTGTTGAAGCCCAGGTTCCAAAGGAGAAGGGTCTTTAGGTTTTGGTCATCCTCTTGAAAGCTAGGAAATTGTATTACTGCAAGGTTTACCACCTCACTTGGATAGCATGCTTTCCAAGTGAGGTGGTAAGATAAGAAAATTTCAGTGCAGGAAGTATTCCTTGGGACAAATTCTGTAATTTCTCCAGTCGGCTATGGACAAGTCTTTGGCTTTAACTGCTATTAGGGTCGGATCTTGGCTTGGTGGTCCTCTTTTTCAGTGGTCTCTTGCTTCTTGTTCCCTGGTGAGACCTTTCATACATGGGGGTTACTCACCTTGTTCATCCTGCACATTCTCTGTTGACTACGTGGGACCTTAACCTGGTTTTAACAGTTCAGAAACTACTATTTTAACCTGTCAGGAATTTTCCTCTCTCTGTCCTTACTTATAAGGTCACCTGGTGTTCTCTTCACATGTTTCCTAATGTCTGCTTGGTAGATGTATTTTAGACCTCTCCTTTTTGTTTTTATTTTTGCATCTGTTAGCTGTTGTTTTGCTGTGTTGCCCACCCCTTGTTAGATTGCTTTTGGTTATCTCAGTGATCTAAGAATTAGCCAATACTCTGTCCTGCGATATATGACGGAGGAAATAGGAATTCTTACTTACCTGTAAAATCGTTTTCTTGAAGACTATCACAGGAATTGGTACCCTTCTTGTCTTTGATCACTCTTGTATTGTATACTGTCCTGAAACCCAGCCCTGCCTGAGTCTTGTATGTACTTCAAGAAAAGTATTTTGAAAGTAAGTCAACAATCCTATTTTAGGCAGGCCATACATTATGCAATTTTCTATCCTTCAACCACAGGTTGTGTTGTCAATGTTGATGGGGGAATCCCTCCTGCAGCAATCTCGTGTTCTTCCTACATGGAACACAAGGAGCCTTCCCCACCGGAAAAATACAGTGATCTCTGCTGGGTGCTATAGTTCCCGGCAGTGATCTGTCAAAAAAAAAAAAAAAAAAAAAAAAGACAGCAGGCTCATTGTACTGAAGTTGATCAATAGATTGACTTCAGTACAACTAGCCTGTCCATAGGTGGATCGAAATTGGCTGGTTCCTGCCAAACTGGCCTAATTTCAATCAGTCAATCGCCGGCTTTAGTGATCAGGTTAAGTAATTAGGGTTTATTTTTTCTTTTATTCAGTTTTGTAATTCTTCTTCCATTTATTCTTTACTCACATCTCCACCTTGCTTTCCAGACAGGACCACTGCCTCTCAAGTATCGTGTGCAGCCGACGTGCAAAAGATTACGATTTAGCCGCCCAAGAAGCCTGCAGGAACCCAACCGAGCAACGAACTCAGAAGGGGATTCAGCAAGTGACAAGGCGAACAGCCCAGCACCAGTTCCCTCCACATCCTCATCTCTACCCAGCCCTTTAACTCCCTGTCAGAGCTCTCCAAGCCCCAACACTGAACTCCCTCCAGCCCCTTCCCTCCACAATGGGCACTCAGCCAGCAAGGGCCGAAAAGTTTCTCTCAATGGAGCACCGGGACCACCCCTCACTTGAGTGGTCTGCCTACCCAGAGCTTTTTTTTATACATATGTAAATAGAAAGAAGGACTTTTTTTATTTTCTATGGATAATACAAGAGTAATTTAATCCCTGCTTACACCCAAAATCTTTTTGTAATATTTTGTATTATAATTTATAAGAGGGAAGGGAGAAAATGCACATTCTTGTTTGAATGATGCTTCTCCAGTGCCCCATGGCTAGCTTCGTTTAAAACTCCCATCTGGTTATTACATACAGTCATGTGAAAATTAAGTACATCCCATGGAAAATGTTGACTTTTTCAACAGGCAAACATTAGGTCTTTATTCTGTGCCTACAAAAAAGGGGACATGTTCAATTGACATGGTGTCTTTTATTCTCATAATCAATAAATTTTAAAAAATGCAGATTTGTTATGTGGAAAAAGTAGCTACATCTCTACATTTTACCACCACAAAATACAAGAAATTGGAATGAGGTTTTTCAGATTAGATGCTAATGATTAAACACATTTACACCATTTTAAAACCAGAAGTGATGAATGTGCATGGTTTCTAGCTCCTTTCATCTAAGTAACGTGTTTGCTGATCGTCCTCATTGATGCCACAATGGAAGCCCCAGGTGTCCAGTGTCCAGGACAGGTAGCAGAGCCTGAGATACACTTCCTTGGTAGGGTCCGACCCAGCATGTAACACTTAATAGTCACGAACATGTAACTGCTGTAGTTGCTGCTAATGTAAGCCTTACAATTATGGCAGTGAAAGGGTTAAACTTCAGCTATCTAGTGCCTGGTGCTCTTTATTTTCTATTGACGTGCTGTCGTCATGCCAAGATCAAGAACTCTCTAAGGCCCTTCGGGAGGTTGTGAATGCCTAGGAGTCTGGCAAATGATTTTAAAAAGATTGTCATATCATCTGAAAGCAATCATTCCGCTTTAGATAAAAATCCATTTTTTTTTTTGTCATGTTTTGCTATTTATTACTAAAGTTTGTAAAATACCCTCCCTATACCATATTAATTCTGTAAGAACCCATGAAATAAAAAAGATGCTACAGATTCTGTCCATGCCACAATAGTTGCACAAATGTTTGTCCAAAAATATTTCCTATAAATATACATCAAAATCATTCAAACGCACACACAACATAAAATTTCTACAAAATTTAAAAGCAAACATTACAAATAAATGTTAATTTTAGATTGTACCTTTTCATCAAACTGTGAAAATCAACAGTATGCCAAACTGTAAATAAGCCACTTATGCTAAAAATCTGGAGGTTTGCTTTTCACCTATGCCTTGTGATAACACCCCATCTAGAGTGCTTGGTGTGCTCAGTTTTTAATGAATGGCTGTGATCATTGGCTTGTGAGCTGCTGATCACAGCTATTACTTTTTTTTTTTTGCTTTAATAAATAATTATGTGTAGTGAGCCAACCGCTGCAGTGGACTAACTTGTGGTTAGAACTGTCCATGTCCTCAGCAGAATAAAGACCTAGCCGGTATGCAAGACGTCCACTTCTGGGTATGTGATCGCCTTACCTCCCATACTGGCTAGGTCGTTATGCAACATCGACCGTTCCAACCACGAGTGAGTCCCTATACCGTAGCTACAAATTTTCGATCTCAATGGATAGTAGAATTCTTGTGACTTGTGTCTGTGATATCTATCCGAGTGAAACTGCCCAGTTTTAACTCTTACGTAGATACATTCGAGCAGCATTACCTGTTGATAATGCACTAGTGCGCTGCACAATGTCATTATTCTCCCCGCTATAGAGCAACTGGGACCTAGTGTAACCACCCACCACGTAGAGTGCCTCATCACTGCTGAATGTTCTTTCAGATCTCCTTTCTGATTATTGTATTCTCTATAGGACGGTTCCTGTATAAAAAAAAAAAAAACTAATAACCATTATACATTTCATCCACTAGAGATCACTATAGTATAGTGGTCAACGCTCTACTTTTATGTTTGTTTGTTTTTTTTTTTTTTTTTGTAGACATTGTGGACTTTTTTCCTTTACCATTTTGTGTAGCTGCAGGACCGTAGTGTTTTTATTTATGTTGTTGGATTTTATGTTCTAGTTTTTTAAACCTTTTGCTTAGGGAGACACTAGTTTTTAGTTTCAGGTTTTTTGAATTTTCTTTTTCTTTTTTTTTTTCCAGTGGAGTCTAGGGGACTCTAGTTCAAGATTCCCGTAATGACTATGAGCTTATAGTAGAAGGGAATGCAGCAGACATATGGCTTGTGTAGCTGGCCAGCTGCAAGCTGTTTTGTTCTGTCAAAAGCCTTAAGCTGAAACTGGCAAGGAAACAAACAAAAATGTTGTATCTAAAGGAATTTTGCACAGAGGAGTCAATGCCCCAGACTAATGGGCAGTTATACAAAGTCCCTGCAATAAACAATTTCTGCTAAAGGGGGCAATACTAGCCACTGAGGCCAAGGGTGTACTTTCTATTTCCTGAGCACATTAATTAAATGTATTGATATTTTTGTTAAATAACAGATTTTTTTTGTATTTTTATTCATGTATATATGCTTTATTTGTAGGCATTGTTTAAATGAATAGCTAATGTTTTGTCTGTTTTGTACATATTTTTTCACATGACTGCATTTGTACTTTGGAATTAAGGGAATGCAGAAAACATTGTTCTAACATTGAAGAACCCTTGTTATATATTACTGAGTATGCACAAGTTTTCTGCGGCATGGTTAATGTATTGTAAGTGTGTGGACTTTCATGGTCAAGCTTTTGTAGAGACACGACTGGATATCCTGTAACGACTGAGCACTTTTGAACAATATGCAGTCCAAGGGGGCACTGCTGCTCTGCTGAATGTATGTGGTACGAGTACCCTCTATAAAAAACAGTCTGGCCACCACAGAATATAGCACAACAGGGTCCCTCCTTTCTTATCTTTCCTAAAAGGTTTTGTGTTCTGTTCATGGGTGGGATTTGGGGTTGTGGGTGTCTCTTCTGTGATTAATAAAGGCAAACAACCTTATCTGTGTGTGTTGCTGACTGTATAAATTAGAACACCACTAACTGCCCTAGGCTCTGGAGTGTTGGTTTTACTAGATTTGTACTTCAAGCAGAATTCTACTTTCCAAAGAAATCTAAATGAGAGTACGTGTCTATGGCAGCGTATGTTATCTGTATGGAAGCAGTGCAGAAAGACATACAGGCAGAAAAGCAGTCTCTGTTTTGGCTGTATGGCTTCTACATATGCATATTTATAAGCAGATGGTATCTAGCACGTCTCTTATTTCTTAATTGTACAGTACAGGACACAGGCTTTCATTAGTGAAGACCATGTGTTGCATGCATGCTGCCACTTCCAGGTTAGGACACTGGCAATCAAAGATATTAGGACAGCCCATATAACCACTGCCAGCAAATCCTTAGTTTTTTTTTTTTTTTTGCTAGTGCCCTTGAGTGATGGATGACCTCTTTCTACTGAGAAAAGATTTCTGGCTTATAATTCCCATTTCTGCCTGGAATATTGGGAAGGAGGTTCAGTTATTTGCAGGTTGCTGTAGAGGTTTAGACAGTGGTGATCTGCACCAGTCTGGCCCAGTTCCTGAAAACCCCCTGCATGGAAGAGGAGGCAAGCCTTTCCAAAGCAAATGAAGCAGAGAGTCCTCACCTGCTGGGTTTTCCCCTGGGAAGGTGTCAGTACCCTGGAGCGGTGATTCCAGGTCTTTGCCCATTCCTCTGTGTGGTTTCTAACCAACCTTCATAGCCAGTCCCTTTCCCATTCCTGGGGAATGTCATTGGACCCAATACCCTACACTGGCTGGCTCTGTGTGCCGTCCCACCCTTCCCGACTGTTCCTTGGCCCTCCTGAAGCTCTGGCCACCATCTAAAGCACATGCTCTCTTACAGACAAGGCACATTTCAGCTCCAGCACATACCATGCTCCAAATTGTTGCCCAGGTCTCTGTACCAACCTTCTGGGTTGGTTGTGCAATTAGTTGTGATCCCCTCACGCTAATGGCAGACAGCATTCACAAGGGAAATATGATGGGGTCAGGCCAGCAAATGATGAGCATAGGGCTGTGATTAAGATATTAAGGGTTCTCTGTAAACTCTGCTTCAGGTACTTTGGACCTCAGTCTTCAATCTCTAGTGTCTCCCCTTATTGCCTTAGGTACCCCCATTCCTTCTTTTTAATTGCAGACGAATTTTCAGGATATAATAGTCTACCAGTTGGCATCCCCTGCTGAGTTGTCTGACTCAACCATGGCAGCAATGTTTCTTCCCAATGAAGGTGAGGGGTGGAAGGAAGATGTAGAAGTGTGAGAGCACTCCTCCCAGAGGGTTAGGCAGTTACCCTCAGTCTGTTTGACGTTAGAGCCATCCTCACTATCTGGACCTAAGGTCACCAGTATGGAATCTATTTCCAAATACAAAAAAAAAAAAACTACTTGGTCCTTTTTGATTCACCTACTAATACAAAAATTGTGTACTCCCCCAAGAGGTTTGCTTAGTAGTAACCAGTTGACAACACCACACAAAGTGGAAAAAGTTCCAGTGGTGAATCCGCTATTTCTTGAATCCCTGAAAGTTCCAGATGTGGACATCGGAGTTTTCAATGACCCTGTGGACAAGAGGTTAGAGGACCTCCTCAAAGCCTTTTTTGCTATGTTGAGCTCAGCCATGCAACCGACAGCGTGGACCAAGTGCACAACATGCAACCCTGACGGATCCCTCTGTACTCCAAAAATTGGAGCTCCTCCCAGTATCCTTGTGCTACTGCATAGGCAATTTGGCAGACTCCCTGTGCAAAAATGTTTGCCTGGTTCTTAGGATCTCAGATGCACAGGATTCACTGGCTGCAGAGATGGTCTGTAAGAAATGTCTCGAAAGAGTAGTTCTCTGTAAAACAGAATTATTTCCAGAGTTCTTAGACAGCTTCAATAAGTAAGTCACGTTTACCTGTAAGAAGAAAACTAAGGTGTCCGCAGCAAAATTAGGAGGAGTTTCTTTCATCCTGCCCAGATCACCACTTCT